TTATTTTCTGATTTATTTTATTTATTTTTATTTATTCTGAAAATTCGAATTTCTTGGCGGCAACCCTCAATCTAATTAGGTGTTAGCCTTTCTTGCTTTCGGCACACGTTTTGACCCCGTGGAGGTAACGAAGTGCTGCCGAAATTTTCTGATTTTCTCTTACTTAGTCTTTTCGGCACACTTCGACCCCGTGGAGGTAACGAAATGCTGCCAAAATTTTTAAAAAATCAGATAACCCATTTCTCTCCACCTCCTCACACACTTATTTACTTATTTATTTATTTATTTATTATTTTTTTACTTATTTTCTGAAATTTCTTTTTATTATTTGCGGCATCTCTAGTGTGCTCACCTTGGTCTCTCCTTTTCCCTTGGCGCATTCTTGACCCCGTGGGGGGTAGCGAAATGTTGCCGAAAATTTCAAAAAACTAAATATTGTTTTTTCCTTTTTCATCCTTTTACTTATTTATTTAATTATTATTTATTTATTTCCTTAATTATTTTTATTTTCTCTCGAAATCTCGCTGTTTATTTATTTTTATCCCGCTTTTCCCCCCCTATGCTTGCTCTTTTACTTTCTTGATTAGGTCACCGGTACCCTACCCTAACCACTTAAACCTCGGTTAGGGTTTTCTTAGGGTTTTGTAGGGTTTAGGGTTCTTCAAACCCCCCCCCTACTTCCCCGTCCTCTTCGGGCACCCTGGACCCGAACCACCCCTCCCCCTTTGACGGCGGCGCCCGCGCTAGCCTTGCTAGCGCCGTTCGCCGCTTTCTACCGCGGACTTCCCCCTACGCCCTCCGCTCACGCGGACCTCTTCTGGCCCCCTCCAGTCCGGTCCATCATCTCCCCATGGCTGACGGTGTGTCACACGCCGTCGACACGGCGATGACCACGGCATCGGGCTCCACACCCGTGCCGGCGGACCAGGGCCATCAGCCCCAGGGGGATCTGCACACCCTCCTCACCTCCTTCCTGGCGCCCATCCAGGCGCAACTCGCGACCCTCGCGCCCTTACAAGCACAGGTGGCGACCCTTGCCGCCGGCGTGCGGCAACTCCAGGACACTAGTCGTCCTTCCTCTCCTCACCCTATCTCTTCTCCTGGCTCCCAGTCTGGGTTCCCCGCCTTCCGATAGGGTGGCCACGGTGTAGCTTCCTCCTCCGCTGCCCCCGACCCGGCCATCTTGGTGACCGTCCACGCACCAAGCACGACGACCGCCACGAGTCAGGCCCTCCCTCAGTCCACGGGCGCACCCGCCCAGATTCCGGTTACGACGGCCACGGGACCACAACCCGCTACCATGGTCTCAGCTTTTCCAGGTGCCCCACTTCTCCGCCCTCTTCGCACGACCGCAGCGCCATCTGGCTCTCCCCCTTGTGGGATGCCTCGCGTCGCTCGTGCGTCTCCCCCTGCCACACCTTGCTCGACCTACGTTCGAAGTCTCGAGGACGAGATCGCCCGGCTCCGGACCGACCTCGCCCTCTCACGCCTTCAGCCACCCCCACCCTCACAGGTGGTCGCGCCTTCCGGTGCACCTCCTTCTTCCTCTATTCTTCCTTCCATGCAGGCTCGCTTCCCTCGCCCTGCACTCTACCAATCTCCATCCTACCTCCTCCCCATCCCCTCGGTCGCTGCGACCTCTTCTACCGCAGCTCCCGTGCAGCCTGCCGTTGCTTCCCCCGCTGCTCCACCATGCGGCCCGGACGTGCAGTCAGTTGCGCCTCCTCCTCCTCCAGGACCTCCGCCGACTTATTCCGCCGTAGCGCAGTCCCCTGCTTCCCGTTTCCCTCGCCGCCAAAACGGTGGCACACCACTCATCCGCTTGTCGAACATTCCCTTGTATGACGGTACAGGCATACGCATGTCTAGGTGGCTGCAGGCTGCCACCCGCACGCTCCAGCTCATAGGCGCCACACCCGACACATGGGTGGGTCACCTCTCCACACGCATGCGTGGTGCTCCTTTCGACGCCTGGGAGGATTTCTATGCTTACTCCCTGCGTGAGGGTCGGACTCCGACCTTCATGGATTTCCAGGCGTTCCTCGAGGATCGCTTCGGAACCCGATATGACGTGACTGACGCCTTCGAGCGTGTCGTCACTACACGCTGGTCCGGCTCTGGTGGCGCTGCCGGCCTGGATCGCCACATCCAGGTCTTTTAGGACGCCCGCCTCGTTTGTGACGTGGCGTTCCTTCCCGAGGCTGCCCTTATCGATCGTTTCTTGGCCAGCCTCCCGCTCGAGTACCACTCCGAGCTATGGCGGTACGAGTTCACATCGACCCCACAAGCTTACGAGGCCGCTAGGGACCATCACCGGATGCGAGCCCGTCTTCACCCCGCCTCCTCCTCCCAGCCCCAGCGCACGGGCTACGCCTCCTCCTCCTCTCACGGCACTTCCCAGCG